CTGGGGGCACCTCCCCTGGGGCCTGAGGGGGGCCGGTGGGGGGCTGATCCGGTCCCTGCTCAGGAAAATGGGGGCAAAGAAGTCGTTAAATAGGTTAGTCCAACCGCGGGTCACTGAGTTTCAGACCACTGCAGAGTCCAGTCCTTGAGGCCCGTCGGCAGAGGTTGCCAGGCCACGGACTGGGATTCCTCTAACGTCCTTCCTCCGCTCTCTCCTGCTTCAAGGGTGAGACACTTTATCTCGAGACGGCCTGTCTAGGGGCACCGTGGGCTTAAGGCAGAGAACCACGGGCAGAGAGAGGCACCCCAGCCGCGCTTGACTGCATTTGGGTTTTGCTTTCTGTTGCTAGCAAGCTGGGCCATGCCTGTCTGGGGGGGACGCTGTATTGTGTTTCCTCCTGTGCCTGATTTTAAACCCCACACCCCTAGGCTTTTACCCCCAGAGGACCACCCCCCACAGAGGGGAAACTGAGGCAGCTGGCAGGAGAGGTCCCTGCTCCAGGCCCCCAAGCAAAGCCTGGACTCCAAGCCCCAGAGGGTGGGGGGTGTCTGCAACCACCTGCCCATGCACAGCAGCCCCCCCATCCTTAGCAGCCCCCCAAAGCACAGTGGCTGGCGCTGGCATGAGGGTGGGAGCAGCTGCCGGTGCCTGCTACCCTCTGGGAAGCCCGAGCCCGGGATCCCGGTGCCGTAGAGGTCCGTCCATCTCCAAATGCCTGGCTCTGCCCTAGCAAGTGCCCATGCGACGGAGCCCCCCGCGCCACGCTGCAGCCCATCGGGGGTGGGATGGTGAGGGTTAACCCTCCCCACTCCAAGAAAGCGATGCAGCCATAGGAGATGCAAAATAGACTCTTTATTGGGTCAGGACTGCCCCGGTTAAAGCTACGTGGGAGCCGGCATGGGCTCCCGGCGCCAGCCTCTGACGAGCCGGGGCCAGGCCCGGCAGTCACAGCGGCCCCGGGCAGTGGGCAGATGCCTCGTTGCACAAGGAGTATTAAAGCTTTGCAGTCTTGGAGTGACAGGGAGCGGAGATCTGGCAGTGGAGGGGGCGGACGGGGGGGCGGGTCGCCACGCCAGGCGCACACGTGTGAGCAGACCGTGCCCGCCCCATTCCTGTAGGGCCGACGATAAACAAGGCGCTGGGCTCCAGCTGGGGGGAGTAAAATCCCTGCAAACCTCTGACAAAGGGGAAATGAATGTCTCATCGCCTTGGTAGCCACCCCATAATAACCTGGTATTTCCCCTGGTTCGGTGCGAGTTTCCGCTCCGGCTGAGCCAGGGCCTGGCCGGGAAAGAGGCTTTGGCATGTCGAGATCCCAAGCACATGAGCAAGGCAGGGAGGGGCACCCCGTCCTTCCCGCAGAGGGGAAACCGAGGCACGGTGTTGCGCTCGGCCCCCAAGCGGGGAACGCTCCCTGCGGTCAGGGGTGGGGGGTTTGAAATGACCCGTTTCTGGCTGAAATTGTGTAACCACCCCCGCCACTGCACTGAGATCCAGATGCACGGGGACCCCAGCATCCGGTTTATCTGAGCACGGGCAACCTGAAAAGCCCCCGAGATCCCAGGCCGCCGTCCTGAGATTAAAGGATGCGACTTGCTCTGGGGTGGAGCCGGGGATTAGTTGCTGACCTGGAAAAACCCGCAGCAGCTGGCACTGGCTTAGCGGGCCAGGAGGGGCTCAGGGTGGCATGGGCCAGCTCCTGCAACCTCTCACCCTGCAGAGCTGAGTGGATGTTATGGCCCAGGGGGTCTGAGCCAGAAGCCCCCAGGGCTGCGGGGACAGGGCCCAGCCAGGATCCAGGTTTGGGAGGATGCCCTGGCCCGAGTGGGGCAAGGGGGGCACCCCTAGATGTGGTCCAGCCAGGCCAGCTACAGCCCCCTGACCCCGAGAGCCCCCAGCCCACCCACCCCGCCGCTGCACACACGGGAGCAACCAGCACAGAAGAGCCAAGGAGGAAGCAGGGTGATGGCGGGAGGGGTCTGGCACACCGGGCCCCGGATGCCTGGGTCCTCTCAAGCCGGGCACAGGGTCACAGGCCCTTGTTGAAGTACACGATCTCCGTGCGGGGGCTCTTCTCCCGCACCCGCGCCTGCACCTCGGGCTCCAAGCGGCTCACGCGCATCGAGCTGGAGGGGGCAGACAGAGGGGGGCGGTGAGCACCAGCCCCGGGACCACCCTGGGGGGGACCCACCAGCCACCGTGCCCAGGTACAGCTCTGCTCTGGCGAGCCAGCTCTGAGGAGGGCCACAGCGGCTTGGTGCCCACGCATGTGCACGCACGTGCCCTACCTTTTCTGTGGGAAGAGGGCGCAGCACAGCGGCGTTGCGAAGACCAAGCTGCCAGGGGAAAGACGAGGCGGGGGGACGTGAGGGCTGGTGGCCCCTGGGAGCTGCCTCAGGGAGGGGCAGGAACCCTGAGATTCCCCAGGTCAAAGCTCAGGCATGGCCTCAGCCTCCCTCCGCCACTGACTGCCCACAGAGCCTTGGGCAAGTCCCTTTGCTTCCAGCTAAGGGAGATCCCCCGCAAGCCGATGCCCCCTGCAATGGGGGTCCCACCAGCCTGTTGGCACCAGGCAGGGCCCTGGCTCTGGGTGACAGGACCTTGTCCGGGCCCCGCTTTCTGCTCCTGTGCCCAGGGTCACTCACCAGAGCCCCACCAGCCCCACTTGCAGGGGCGCGTTCATCCAGGGGTAACGCTGTGGGGAAACAGAGGCAGCGGGTCAGCACAGGCAGTTTCGGGGCCGGAGGCTCCTGGGAGCCCGCAGCCCTGGGGGAGGCTGCTGGGGGCGTACGGCAGGCCACGAGGGGCACACACCTTGAGGAAGGCTCTCTTCTCCAGCGCATTCATGATCACCGGGGGGATGGCTGTGGGGTTGGGGAGACAAGGGCATGAGCCAGCTGCACCTGGGGAAAGCTGAGGCTTCCAGAGAAACTAGGAGGGTACGGGGGCGACTTACCCATGGCAGGGGCAGCCATGCCAATTCGGGACACAACCACCTGGGCGATTGCCTGGCGGGCAGCTGCCCGCGACTCCCCCAGCCGGTTCCCGTCTTTATCTAGGATGGGGATCCCCAGCTTGAGCTCCCTGCGGGGGACAGACCGGGGCCGGTCACACCGACGGCGGGGTGGGGACCACCGGGCTGCTGAGCCACCTGCATGCTCCAGGGCTTCCTCCGTGGGGCACGGGGGGCTTACCTCTGCCTCATCAAGGGGATGTTGATGCAGTTCGCGGCAGCCACGGCTGCAAAGGGCACAAAGCGGCCTATGATGGATGGCAAGTGCTGGAGAGACGGGGGGGAGGAGGCGTGTGAGGACAGCGGGGTGGTGCCCCGTGATTTAAACCAGGGGCCTGGAGACCTGACCACCCTCCCTGGCTCTGAGTGACCTCAGCACCTCCCCAGCCTCAGTTCTTCATCTGTAAAATGGGGCTAATGATGCGTCAGAGCCCCTGCACAGAGCTGAGTGCCAGAGGGCCCCAGCTCGGTCCCCAGCCATCCCCAGCCAGATCTGCAGCGAGGCACCAGGGCTGCCAGGGCTGTCTCTGGGGGCTGGCAGTGTGGCATCGCCCGCCAAGGCAAGCAGCTGCCCCCTCCCAGCCCAGGCAGGCTCCGTGAGGGCCCTGTCTGCCCCGGGGCAGCTCCCCTACCTTGGTGAGAGACTTGAGTCCCAGCGCTGTCACCACCGCGCCCGTGGTGGCACTCACGTAGGCCGTGCCCAGCTGCCTGCAGGAGGAACAGGAGCCGGTGACGGGCTGGGGCTCCGTGCCCCCACCCCAGAGCCGCGCCGGGGCTGCCTGCAGCCAAGGGCATCGGTGCCCCCATGCTGGGAGCAGCCCTGCACCCCTGCCAGCTGCCCACGGGCGCCAGGGTCCCTTACCCGGTGGTGATGGGGGCATCGCCACTGCGGTTGGTGTAGTTCACGACGGCATTGAACGACTGGTTCACCCACTGCCAGAAGAGCACCGCCGGCGTGGTCCTGCGAGTACGGAGAGTGTCAGGGCACGGGCTGGGAGGAGGGGGAGGCCTGGCCGGGGACAGGGAGCGGAGGGGATCCCACCAGGCAGGCCAGGGGGGTCCAAGGCAGGAGAAGCCGGCGGGGGACGGGCAGGGGGCACACGTGCCTGTAGAAGGTGAGCATGCAGCCCGTGATGGTCATGTTCATGGGCACCTGCGCCGACATGCGCCCGACCAGCACCATCTTCTCGCCCGTGTCGGGGTGGAAAGCCGAGTCGTAGATGTACTTCGCCCGCCACAGCTGGTCCTCAGTCACGCCCGCGGGCACCTTCCCAGCCCTGCAGGGACCAGAGCACCGGAAAGGGGTCAGGGCACGGAGACCCGTCTACACCAGGGCAGGGGGCAAAAACCTGTTTACACCAGGGCAGGAGGCACGGTGGGGGCCCGTCTACACCAGGGCAGGGGGCAAAGACCTGTTTACACCAGGACAGGAGGTGAGGTGGCAGGGTGGGGGCCTGTCTACACCAGGGCAGGGGCAAGGGGCAGGATGCAGAGGCCCGTCTACACCAGGGCAGGGGGCAGTTCCCCCCCACCACGATGCAGGGGCCCCGGGGGCGGGCACCTGTAATCCTGGACCAGCCGGCGGGCTTGCTCCAGCGCGGCGCCCGACAGCAGCAGGTTGCGGGGGTCGGTGACCATGAAGAAGTGGCGGGCGCGCCCGGCGAAGGTGCTCTGGTCCCATCGCGGCTCCCGGAGGTCGATGTGGGGGGGCAGCGTGCCCGCCATGCTCTGGGGGGCACAAGCACCGTCAGTGCCGGGAGCAGGGCTCGGTGAGCCGGGCGGTGCTGCAGGAGGCAGGGCTTGGCCCGGGGCAGCTGCGCCGGCGCCAGCCCAGCCCCACGCCATGGGCACACGCGCTTTTTCCATCGTCGCCGCGGCAACGGGGAAAATGACTCCCATCTGCCCCTCCCTGCGGTCCCCCCCC